AAATGAACACTTTTATTGGTTTTTATCAAAGTCAAAATCAAAATTCCTCGTTAACATGGTGTTATCTGTTTTTCAGTTTTTCAGTTTTTCTACGGCTCTGGATCCATCTCTTTAATGGACTGYGCATTCATTAGCAGGAGGCGGTTTGGGTCMACCAAATTAAACTACATTGGAATTYTTTTCATTGGCGGRTCTCTAAATTACCTCTTTGTCTCCAGACATTTCCTGATATGTTGTCCACTGCACGTTRTTTGTTGAGTACAAYACTTKRTACTTTTTCACATATTCRTYYCTGTTTTCTCCAAGTCCCTGAGTAGCTACAGCACATATATMGAACATAGCAYCAAGATCAATCTGAAGATAATCATCAGGTGCATTTCGTGTATACGCAGCCCAGGCTTGGCTATTACCCAGTCTTCCTTTAAAAGGTTTGTATGCAGCAGAAKTTGATGTTGCTGTAAACCTGTGATCAGGTACCAAACTAGTAGAGGGTATACCAACACTGTGAYTTGAACAGCCTGAACAGGAGAAAGTTTCAAAGTTGAATATGATTAAGTGCAGGCCTATGAAAATCATTTATAACTTAACATTTAAAGGTTTTCAGATAATCATGCAGGGGAGTAAGAAATAGAGGATATTAARTGAGCGCAGAGAGGAGGAAATTCTCAACACAAGAAGGTAATATCCGTATCTCCAAGCGGTCATGTAATATTCTATTCAATATATATTTATCCACGAAATACAATTTTAGTGGATTTTTACTGTTTAATGCGATTCCTAAGAATTCTTACCAATGGTGATATTTTCATGTGTGAAGATTTTCATGTATTATTRTTTGGACAAGAACAGGATATGAGCAATCGTGCGCTCTGATTGGCTACTCTACTACTAGGCTTTCAGCTCATATGCCATTAGTCCATTCAGTAGAGAACATTTAAAATGGCTAGCGACCGATTTGTTCAACTTTTTGAGAAATAAAAACATATGAAAAGACACACCACGTGCCTGAAAAAAAATCAGAAAACATCAAAAAGGAACATGGGAATTCAYGGGAATCTTACTTGTCTGGAAAGGATATCCATAGATCTCTGTCCTCAAGCACGGTGTACCAGTCTGGGATGTCTTAGGTACAATACGTAGATATCTTGTAATAATACCATGGTACAGAATGCGACGTGCAGCAGTTGAACGATCATAATTACCGT